ATGGGCCAACTGCTCTCGATACTCGCCTCGGGTGGGTTCTGTCCGGACCAACAGGCAGGTGTAATTCAGGCATCATCTCCACTAACGTCGCAACCAATCACGCTTGCGATGTCGAACCATCTACCGTGCAAGATCCAGACAGCGCTTTGGTCCAGCTACTCCAGAAGTTCTGGCAGCTTGAATCCATCGGCATCTTGCCTAATGAACCGGACACTCTGCAGCTGTTCCAACAGACCATCCGCTACGATGGGCAGAGGTACACGGTCAGGTTGCCATGGAGGGAGGATCATCGCGCGCTTCCAGACAATTACAGTCTGTCCGAGAAACGGCTGCAGTCAACACTCAAGAAACTGCAGAAGTCACCAGAAATTCTGAAGGAATACAATGCAGTAATTCAAGAGCAACTTCAGAAGGGCATCATCGAGGAGGTGCCAACTACAGAGCACGACGTGGTGGGCGAAGTACATTACCTGCCTCACCATCCTGTCATTCGGCAGGACAAGACCACTACGAAGGTTCGTGTGGTGTACGATGCCTCAGCCAAGGTGAAGACGCATCCGTCCCTGAACGACTGCATCCACACGGGACCACCGCTGCTCGAGCAGATCACCAGCATACTGCTCCGGTTCCGAACGCATGCGGTAGCCTTCACCGCAGACATAGAAAAGGCGTTCTTGATGGTTGGGATTGAGGCAGCCGACCGCGACGTCCTACGCTTCCTCTGGGTCGACAATCCCACAAGCGCTCAGCCGGTACTCAAGACGTACCGATTCACGCGTGTTGTCTTCGGTGTATCCGCTAGCCCATTCTTATTGAACGCTACCCTGCAACACCATCTCGCCAAGTTTGATCCCGAGTTCACTACGAAGCTGCTGCAGAGTCTGTACGTGGACGATGTTGCGAGTGGCGGCAACAGCAATGCCAATGCGTTGGAATCGTTCAACCGTGCCAAGAATCACCTTGCAACAGGCGGATTCAACTTGCGCAAGTTTGTCTCCAACTCCGCTGAATTGAATGAGATCGTCAATGGTACCGCAGCGACACCACTGTCGACTAACGGTCTGCCTACCGTCGCCGTGGATAACGACTCGTATGCCAAGACCATGTTGAACGGCTCATCCGCAGCCACCACCAAAGTCCTGGGCATTCCATGGGACAGGACATCTGACCGTCTTACGTTCAGCGTCGACGAAGTGTTCAGCACGACCAAGGTCGACTCGCCAGTAACTAAGCGCCAAGTCCTATCGGCGTCAGCCAAGGTGTATGACCCCCTCGGACTCCTGGCACCTATCACCATCACCCTCAAGGTATTTCACCAACAACTATGCCAGTTGAAGATGGGCTGGGATGACCCATTGGAGGGAGAGTGTCTTGGCAAGTGGCAGACGATGATACGGGAATTGAAGGCCATGCCACCGGTCTCACTGCCACGGCACTACGCAACAGACGCGAACGGCAACATCACACGTGTCGAGCTACACGGTTTCTGTGACGCGTCCGAGAGAGCCTATGCAGCAGCCATCTACATTGTGTTCACGACGGAGGTGGGCACTTCAGTACAGCTAGTCGCGGCAAAGACTCGTGTTGCGCCGCTGAAGCAACAGACCATTCCCCGCCTCGAGTTGCTTTCAGCACTGGTATTGGCTCGCCTGATGGCATCAGTCTCCTCAACCTTGGCAGATCTGAAGATTGATCAGATTCACTGCTGGTCCGACTCCCAAGTGGCACTGGCGTGGATAGCTGGAGTGGAGCAAACTTGGAAGGAGTTTGTGGAGAGCCGGGTTACAGAGATCCGACGTCTCGTTCCGACGTCCTGCTGGAGGTACTGTCCAACATCTTCGAACCCGGCTGACCTGCCGTCACGAGGAGTGAAGCCCAGTGAGCTCACTAGTACCATCTGGTACACTGGTCCGAAGTGGCTACACGAGCCACAACCCCGAGCAGAAGTCGACAGCGGCTCCGCAGCATCGCAGTGTGAAGAAGTCGAGAGAGAGCGGAAGGCAACACCTACCACGGTCATGGCAGTCGGCTGCACCTCGCACAGCAGCATCGAGAAGGTCATCGATGTGAATCGATTCAGCTCACTGAGCAAACTGCTGCGTGTGACCGCTTACGTCCTGAAGGTCACAGACCTGTTGAAGCGTCGCAGCAAGACCACACATCTGTCTGCGAAGGATCTCCACAGAGCACATACACTGTGGATGGTCAACGCTCAACAGGATCTGTCCAAGGACAAGAAGTACCCTGGTTGGTGTAAGGAGTTCGGCCTTTTCACCGACGAGAGTGGCATTCTACGGTGTGGTGGACGTCTGCAAAACGCCGGACTGTCGCATGATCAAACCCATCCGGTTTTGCTGAACGCGAACCACCCGTTGACACGTCTAGCCGTCCTGCAGGCGCATGACACGGTATGCCACAATGGTGTCAAGGAGACACTAACCGAGCTACGATCCCGTTACTGGATCATTCGTGGTCGGCAATTCGTACGAAAGATTGTCGGCCAATGCACCGTTTGTCGACGTCTCGAGTCGAAGCCGTACGCTCCGGAAGATTCACCTCCCCTGCCAGAATTCAGGACCAAGGTGGACTTCCCCTTTAGTTACGTCGGTGTGGACTTCGCAGGGCCACTGTTTGTCAGGGAAGGAGCAGACACCAAGAAGGTATATATCGCGCTCTTCACCTGCGCCGTCAGCCGAGCGCTCCATCTAGATCTTGTGCCTGACCTATCAGCGGAAACGTTCCTCCGTTGTTTCAAGCGGTTTACGGCACGATTTGGCATCCCTCGGCACGTTACCTCTGACAACGCCAAGACCTTCAAGTCAGCGGCTAAGTCACTAGTGGGTTTGTTCGGTCTGCCCGAAGTCACTGACTATCTAACAGCACACGGCATGGAATGGTCGTTCAACTTGGAGAAGGCTCCATGGTGGGGTGGATTTTATGAACGGATGGTCCGATGTGTAAAACGCTGCTTGAGGAAGATTCTCGGCCAGGCACGCGTCACGTACGAAGAACTCCTCACCTTCTTGCTCGAGGTTGAAGCAGTCCTCAACAGTCGCCCTCTGACATTTGTGTCAACTGAAGATGTCGAGGAGCCGTTAACACCGTCCCATCTATTGTATGGTCGGCGCGTCCTGTCATTTCCGACAGTGTGTCCTGATGACGTCGATGTCGCGTCAATTCAACGAGATGAGCTTCTACACCGACTCACCCACCTCAACACGCTCCTGGAGCATTTCTGGTGCAGATGGAGAAGTGAGTATCTACTCGAACTCCGAAACGCTCACAGGCGAGGCAATCAGCACGACCAAGGAGCAACAGTGTGCGTCGGTGATGTAGTAGTCGTGCACGACGACAATGAGAAGCGTGGCCTGTGGAGACTAGCGTTAGTCGAAGACCTCATCCGAGGCAAGGACAACAAGGTCCGAGGAGCGGTGATAAAATGCTCTTCCCGCTGAGGACGAGCATCCACCATGCGTCGCCCGGTACAGCGACTGTACCCTGTGGAGGTAGCAAGACCTGCACCAGCCGCCGACGTTCTCGACGAACAATCGCAGGCCCACGTTGCGGACACAGCCTCCGCTGTCCAGCAATCTGGTGCGCACCCCGGCGCCATGCGCCCGAAGAGAGATGCTGCCCGGTCAGCTGATAAGGCCAGACAGCAACTGATTAATGCCGGCTCCTTATAGAGCTGCAGCAGCAATATTCTGTGATTAGATGAGAGCATCACGTTGCACCATGCTCTGTACTCTAGTAGCATCACGCTGTTGTAGGAACGAGTCAGGTACATGTAGTACACTAATTTCTAAGCTCTCATCTGGAGGGAGTGTGGAATATTGCATGCTTGTCAATAGTGCATGCTTGTTAGAGATTGCATGCTTGTCAGATATTGCATGCTTGTTAGATAATGCATGCTTGTTAGAGATTGCATGCTTGTTAGATATTGCATGAATAAGAGTATTGTCACAAACTAATGGTTCGCACCAAGCATACATACAAGCATACAAGCAATCGATTATACAGTCTTCTTTCTTCTTTCTATCGTGTCTTCTAAAGTATTTTACTTACCTTTTGCGCCATGGTACGCCTACGACGTTCCCATGGTCTTCACGTACGACATACGGTTTTCTAGCCCTTTTTCCTGGAGCTTGTCTCCTCGTGTCGTTTCTGTTTCATTGGTTTTACGTTGTCTAATGATAAGCAACAGTTTGTTTGAGTCTAAGAGAACCCAAGATGCGCTCGCGTTGAGCCAAAGCAGCCTTACAAGATACCATTTTGTAAACATGCTTAGAGTACAGTCAACTTGGCTAATAACGACTGCGGATATAACGACTGCGGATATAACGACAATTCGCGAATAACGACAGAATTTCCATGCCCAGAGCAAAGTCCCATCCCACTGGAATACATATAATGAGACTTCGGGTATAACGACACTTCGCGAATAAGGACACCTTTTTGATGCCCCGCCGAGTGTCGTTATAAGCGAAGTTGACTGTATTGGAACTTTTCCATACGAAGCTAAAGAGGCGTTGATACGTACTCATAATAATGATGTCATGATGACATAATGCTAGCCTCTGTGTCCTGTTCCCAAATGCCGTGATGACCTATGCTGTGCACATGCACCAGTACTCATTTACTAACAGTCCACACATGCTTTACTGTGCGCATGATTATTATGAGTTCTCTCTTTTTTAAGGTTTTTTTGCAAATCGAAGAGTGGACATGCATTTATGGCCATGCAATGCTGTTGTGTAAATGATAAACATGAGCTGTAGTCTTCCTTATCGAGACTACGACGTGTGTAGCAGACGGAGGCATGGTGAACGTTAACGTGAAGGTCAATTCCGACCAAATTTGGTATGAGGGTTTAGAAACCTTTTTTTTGACAAGACAATACAAGACAATGGTGTTTTTTGACAAGACAATACAAGACAATGGTGGTGCTCATCGGGCCTCTCCCTCATCGCCTCAAGAAGCACGGACACCTAATTATTTACCTCTGAATGTCTGACAGGATGCAGCAGTCTGACTCGCATCGTGCTATTATATTCTTCCAGCGAATGGGTTTTGAAATAGTCAACCAGTGAGCTGACCGAGTCAAATTCACACGGGTCACTGAATCCAAACCTGTTTCCGTCGTTGAATATTCTCACTAGCCGATTCATTCCGCCCGTCCTGCATCAATACAAAAATAAAATAGAAATTGTTCATTGGTTGAGCGAAATATGCAAAATTGAAATTGGGCAGAAATATATGGCGAGCAATCTTGCTTTCTACACTTCTCTAAATTCAAAGCTTCTCAAAACCTCTCAAACCCTCGAAAACCATAGTAAGATTTCACGAACCCATACAGGAACTCACAAAACCACACAAACCCTCACACACCCTCACAAGCCATCGCAAACTCTCACAAACCATCGCAAACCTCTCATTTACCAGCTAAAATCAAAAGGGAAAGGGAGAGCGAGAGGGGGGGGGGGGGGGGGGTGAACATAGATTTCACAGGAGGAAAACAACTCCGTGTACACAACAAGGTACAAACTATGCCGCAACAAATTGACATCCCTGTAGTGATAATTTGGCCCTGGAGACCACTACATAATGCAGTCCTCTTGTAGCACAATTTTCATTTGCCTGTTCAAGCTCAATTGATGTCGGAGGGGTGAATTCCCAAAAAGAACATTGTGTATTTTAAATTAAAAGCTGGGAGTGGTGCTTTCTTGCAGGTTTGCAGAGTGGAAGGTTCAATGTGCTTCTCGTGTGTTCCAGACGGCAGTTGTTAGTCAGTCAAGTGTCAAGTCAGTCGGCAGGAAGTGCGAGCTTCAGTGTTTGAAGCAGCCGCCTTCTTTGCCACAAGGTACTCAATATAGCATACGGTAAGGCCGTTCCAACCTCTACAGAACACAGTGCCGGCAGTTTTAAGGTTGTCAACGACAGCATATTCAGTCAACCTACTTCACAGTGAGCGTATATTCCCCTGGGTTGTTCGTTGAGTCGCGCACCAGGAAAGAACCATCCGCAGTGTCAGCCATCCTCTCCATGACTTCCGCTCTGGGTGCAAGGACACAGACAATGCAAACAAAGGTTTTTTGAATGCCAAATGGGTGCATGGGGCGTAGCTTGCGCACCGGTGGTGTGGTGACCATGTGCTAGAGCACATCTGTGGTGTGGTGACCCGCGATGTACCACCGGCAACCTCAGAGTTACCATTTTGCCTATTTTAACCTTGTAGTACCCTATGGCGGCCATATGCTGGTGTGGTAACCTGACTATACTTACTATACATGAGCTACCTGGGGTCACGCCTGGGGCCCGGTGTGATGACTGTAAAGTTCGATCCTTGAACTTTGTTACTTATTTCGAGCACACACACCCAACATGCGAGAACATTCTATTTTGACTTCACTTCTTGGAAACATAAACAACAAGAACAAAGAAATGCAAATCACTCCAGATTATCAGCAGTGGACGGAAGGTGCTAGAAGCAGTAGAAGAAGAGAGAAGGATCCAGAACCGGATGTGTACAATACGATGACAAGCTAGACCACATAGATTGGTTGATCATGAACGCGTGTCATGTGCAGGTAAGCCGTACATGGATGGAGTGTCACGCGATGGCATAGCAAGGCACTAGATGACTGTGCATGATAATTACAAGCAACACATGTAACTCATGTGTAGCACATGCAACAATGACAATACCAGAGAAACTACAGTAGGTGCTGGCCAAGCCAAGTTTGCATTTCAGCCACATTTCGGGGATTCTGTTAGCCGCCGGGAGATTTTAGACAGTAATGTTGTGAGGAGTGTGCACCCCTAACTAATGTACTGCAAACGTGCAGGCAGTTTGTACTTATAAATCCCGGCTTGCGAGGACGCTACAAGTGCACGAAGAATGCCCGCACAAGTTCATACCAACGTTAAATGCACTCCGTAGCGCTGGTGGAAGAAATCTCCACTGGCCTGGTCGAGCAACCTAAAAAGGAGGGTGCTGAGGGTTGCAGGGTGAGGAGGACTATCCCCAGAAATATTTACTAGGTTAGAGGCAAAATAGGGCATGCTAGGCTGATCTTCATTGCTTATCAACCGGATTTTGAAATACGTGACCATGGCCAGTCAAAATGTTGTCCTGGCTGGGAATTGACCCGGTCCGTCAACCCTTCTATACTGGACTACCGTATGGTTCAATGTGCTAGTCATACAAGGCATAGCATAGCATTGTGTTGAGCAGGGCAGAGCAGGGCAAGGCAGGGGAGGGCAGGGCAGGGCAGGGCAGGGCAGAACAGGGCAGGACAGGGCATAGCAGAGCTGAGCGTCTAGTAAGTAAAGTAAAGTTCACACGTTCACACGTTACCACCGGCTATACAATTGTGTTGAAGACCACAACCAGCTTTAAAGGAAGTTTGGCTTGTGTCAGGCCACCACCATGCCTGGTATACCAAAGCGGCAGATGCAGTGTGTATAGCTATAGTGGCGAGGGTGAGGTGGTAAGTCTCACACACCTCGTTAGCTGAATCCATGTAACCCTCACTCCGAGTAACTGTTAGTGAGTACCCAGTTGACCGTGGGTGTCGTGTAACCCTCACTCCGAGTAACTGTTAGTGAGTACCCAGTTGACCGTGGGTGTCGGCGCAGTTCATTGTGTTAGGTACCTCCTCCCGTACGTTCTACAACCTTATCCAAGCTGGCCTGCATGCATTCTCGTACTCACCTTTTTGTCTCCTTTTGTTCCGTTGGCCTGGGTAGCTACTTGCGCACCTATAATTGCCATAGCTACCCAGGCCCTTTATCTTGCTGTTCACACTTGATCTCTACCTCTTCTTTCTCTCTTACACAATGTAGTCGTTTCGTTCGTCTTGGTCTCTGTATCTTCGTCTCCTGTAATAAATGTTCCATCTACCAGTTCCCGTTGTCCATTGTTGTGCTTGGAGAGTATGACGTCCTCCTGTTGGAACTCAACAATTGCATGTAAAGTGGTCCACGCAGTGACTAGGGACAAATGTAGACATCAATGAGTTCATTTCCACACCTGAGCGGTTGGTCTCACCCTTTCCTCAAATCAATTGGCTGTTTTGACATGCTACGAGGTGCAGAAATAAATAAACGAGAGAGCTTGGAAGCTCAGGGCCCTACGCTATGCTTTTATGCTTTTTTGCCTAGCTCATCGTACATGTTATAAGAACTGATGGAATTGTCTTTTTCCGTTGATTGGCCACATCACTGTATTGCAAAAACGTTTCAATCGGTTTGAATAATGAGTTTGTTTGTTTGTTTCTTTTATTTGAATTCGTTTAGAGCACAGGCAATTCTGCCTTCTCACCAGAGGAAAAACCTCCGGTTCCTGCTAAGAACGAATATAATATTATGAGAGAAGGAAATATTAAAAAGAATCATAACATGATAATTCCAAAGCACAAAGTTTGTAGTTAGGCAAAAGTATTTGCAGAATTTATTGCGGATTGTTATTTCTCTAATAATCATCTACTTTTGTTTTGCTCCTTTTTTAATTTTTATCTCCTTATAATTGTAAATCAACAAATTTTGGCCGATGAGAAATAGAAACCTCTCGATTAGAGAGTTGAAGATGCACGTTATTTCCGACGTGACGCGCAGTTTCACGTCAAATTTGAAATCGATCGGTATTTTTGCTCTCACATGCATCCATTGCTCAATCATGCATCATTTGCCTATATGACAAATGTTTGCCTGCGATTTACTTTGGCCGGTTGGTACCAAGCGGCGAAGTCAGCGAAATTAAATCGCCAGCGAACATTAGTTGATTTTAATACAGGAATCGGATTTTCTGGCCTTTTTTTAGTAATACATGTACATAATCATTGACCTGTTGAGCCAATGACGACGCCGAATGCATGGTTGCCTGTGGAGCACATTACATAACTTTACAGTCTCCTAAAATACGTATCCTGTCCGACGGCAAAAGAGGCTGCAGATTTAGTTTTTCTGCGCGTCGACGGGATGTCTGCGACGCGAAAGTTCAGCTCGCGTTATTTGGCTCGCACGTCGAAAAAATCAACGCGAGTGACCTGCTGCTCACGTCGAAATTTGGACATTACATAACTTTACAGTCTCCTATATAAATACGTATCCTGTTCGACGGCAAAAGAGGCTGCAGATTTAGTTTTTCTGCGCGTCGACGGGATGTCTGTCCTGACGTTTACTGGGACCGGCGCACGGGCGTTCTGGACTCGACGGGATGTCTGTCCTGACGTTTCCTGGGACCGGCTTAGACTCTGCCGATCACGGGCGTTCTGGACTCAACGGGATATCTGTCCTGACGTTGCCTGGTACCGCCGGACTCTACCGATCACGGGCGTTCTGGAGTCGACGGAATCTCTCTTCCGACATTTCCTGTGACCGGCACTGAATCGCTCGTTCACGCTTATTTTGGAGACGACGGGATCTCTCTTCCAAAGTATGTTTATGCTGACGCATCCTATCACCTAATCGGCGTCTATTCTAATTTAATTTCCTCCTCGTCTCCCTATTTCTTTCCAAATCCCCCTCTACATCAGGGAGTCGTATGCATAATACGACGAATATTGGTACGGTACGGGACAGATACAGGAGCCCGCAAATATTGTGGACAGCTGTTATGTACAATCCTGTAGAGCCTTTGTAGTCACAGATACGGGACAGATACGGGACAGATACGGGATAGCGCCAGGCGTGACACAAACAAACAAACAAACAAACACACAAATACCAAATTAAAGCTGTGTGGACCCTGGCTAGCGCCAGACGTTACTGAAGTAACGTCTTCTGCATAGCTACGGGAATAAATAATACATGTGCATACATGTACACGTATCTGCAAGATGCCAAACAACGACGGCAGAACCTACTTTGTAATGGAACCCCAATACCAATCAGCCATTACGACTTCTGGGGTGCCAGCTCTTTTGAACGTAGGCCCTGAGCCTGGTCTGGGTGAAACTTGGTCATCCAGTGATAAAGACTTTTTGGCTTGCGCTCGGCCACTGCGAGGCATTGTTCGTACTGGTGTATCCTGCAGAAGATAATATCAAATACAACCATAGTTTGTAACCTGGAAAAATGTGGGCACAAGTTATGCGATCGAGTCCAACAACTAAACCAGATTTTGAACAGTCAGACGTGTTACATGTTACAATGTTTTCCTTGGCTCACCATCTGAGTTCTTAATACACAACCACGTTCTTCATAATACATACAGCTTGCATAGACCTGGGCCCTAAGCGTATGATGGTTCTACCGGTAGGTACGACCATTATACACAGACATGACGCTCGGCCCGCTGTCTTACGACATCTGCCTACAACTAGACTCTAAGCTTTTTTCTAAGCAGGATTGATAATGAGTTCCAGCAATTTTAGAGGTGATCCTCCACGGCATATTGCGGAGCTCCATGATGAAAGGCCATGGCAACAGCGCAAGTGGAGCTTGGAAATTTGCACTCCACTGTCATTGGAAGCTGAAAACGACCACAACTCCTTATCATGATCGATCTGCTCTGAACATAAATCGCTTTTGACATAGTTGCTAGCGATGTGACCGTAGCACATGGGGCCATTTTGACAATTGTTAAAATGGTGGTTTAGCGTGTGCGCTAAGCCCTGTTAACGAACGTGGAACATCTACCACTCATACTTAGTCTGATGATCATGCATCTGATTATGATGTCATTGCTATACATGCGCATGCGCAGCGTGCGCCACTCTCCCACGCATGCATTCCAAATCTTGCTTTAGAGAGAGAGAAGGAGAAAAGAGAGACTCTTTTGTCACTTTTGCTTTCTGACGACTTGACTGTTCACTGGTTTGTCCGTCAGTGTCAATTTCCTACATTTTTCAACGGACATGCCAAGAACACGGAGCACCTCACGGGGTGCAAGCGCTGCTGGCACTGACGCTGACGGTCCCCCAGCTCTATACCCGTATCCGCAGCGGGCTGTGAATTCTGCGAATTCTCAAGACCATCGGAGAGCGAGGTCCCGTGTGATCCATGCTCATGGGCACATTTCAGCCAATGCGGACCAGGTGACTTCTCCTGCGCCGTCACAACCAGCTCCTCTCACCCTGAGCGACCTGACTGGTGTTATCCAGCCCCTCCTGGAGCGCGTGGAGCGCTTGGAATCCAACGTCGTCGCCCCTACCACCTCGCCCATTGCCGCACCAGCACCAGCACCAGCATCAGCTCCTCTCCCGCTGGGGCAGCCTTCCCCGATGCACTTGGCTTGCGCAGCCGGCTCTCCAGGACTCCCCGTCATCCCTCCACGGCTACGGGAACGTATCACACGAGGTGAGTTTGTCGAATTTGGGGACTTGTTGCCTGAAGCCATGTCCGGCAGTAGTGATGTCCTGCAGTTGTCGTTGGTGAACGGCAGGTCCGTTGAGCTGGTGCAGAGCTCGTCCACTCCCCAGCCCTCCAAGCGCCGAGTCCATGACTTGGCGACGTGGTTAGAGGCCTTCACCTTGTTCACCAGAGTCCTGGTCGATGCGTCGCCGGACCAAGCTCCAGATTTGCTGGCGTACCAAGCCAACATCATCGAGGCCAACAACAATTATCTGACCGACGCGTGGCTGACCTATGACCGTCGTTTCCGTGCTGGTCTTGCTGCCATGCCGCACCTGTATTCCTGGCGGCAACTGGACCCTAACCTCTGGCAGTCCTGCTTCACGAGCCGCGGGCGCCCTATCTGCTCGCGTTGTTCTCTCGTGCACCCATCTCCAGCCCCGCATTGCCCCTTTCGTGGAGGGCTCCCTCTTGCGCAGCACGCAGGCGGGAGCCAGTCAGCCACCAGCCCAGCTCCTCGTCACGATGGCCGCCAGATCTGCCGGAATTACAACAACGGCGCCTGCACATACCCGTCCTGCATACGGGCCCATGTCTGTCTGTCATGCCGCGGCAAACACCCAAAGAAGACTTGCACCCGAGCAGCCTCTCAGTCTTCCCAGTGACGTCGTCACTCCAGTCAACGTGCCTCGGCTAACTGCACTGCTAGCTGCTCACCCTGATGCCCTGTTTCGTGATTATGTATGTGCTGGCATGTTTAACGGCTTCTCGATTGGTCACACCACTCCTCTGGTATCATGCATTCAATCTGTCAATCATCCGTCTAGTCTCTGCAATAAACAATTTGTCACCCTGTACCTACAGTCTTGTTGCGATGCTGGGGAAACAGCTGGTCCGTTTGCTGAGCCGCCATATCAGCTGTTTCAAACCTCGGGTTTGGGCCTGATCCCAAAATCCAATGGCAAATTTCGCCTCATCCATGACCTATCCTCCCCCACTGGCCGCAGTGTCAATGATGGTATTTCCCGGGAGTCATTCAGCTTGGAGTATGACACTGTCGATTCGGCTATCTCCTATATCATGAAGTTCGGCCGTGGTTGCTACCTGACCAAAGTGGACATTCGAAACGCCTTCCGATTATGCCCTGTTGCCCCCTCTGACTGGCACTTGTTGGGTATCTCTTGGGATGGTCGTTACTATTTCGAAAAAGTCCTCCCGTTCGGCCTTCGGTCAGCTCCGTACATATTTGACAAGTTTGCATCTGCCCTTCATTGGGTTCTGGAGGACACATGCCGCCTTCCCCATCTCATTCATTATCTGGCTGACTTCCTGAATGTATCGCCTCCCAGTCTTCCTCTTGCCCAGCACCAGAAGTCACTACTGCTCGACCTGTTTGCATATTTACAGGTCCCAGTTGCACCTGAGAAGGTTGACGGCCCCTCTACGGTTCTCACCTTCCTGGGCTTAGAGCTGGACACAATGGCTCTGGAGATCCGCCTTCCACCCTCAAAGCTGACTAAGCTATCTACCACGGTGTCGGCCCTCGTCCAATCCGGCCGGGTTCAGAAACGCGTCCTCGCCTCCGTATTGGGCAAACTCTCGTTCGCGTCCAGAGCTGTACCAGCTGGTCGCACATTCCTGAGACGCCTGTACGACCTGGACAGAGCAACTCGATCAACACCATTGCACCAATGGCTACGCATTTCGGCATCGGCAATGGCAGACCTGTTGTGGTGGGCAGACGCCCTGACCATATGGAATGGGAAGTCATTCTTCCTGGTGGATGAGTGGACGCCAGCCCCCGACATGCAACTACAGACTGATGCCAGCGGCACTCACGGTTATGGTGCCTTCTACAACGGCCGGTGGCTGAGAGGAGAGTGGACAGCCCAGAACGAGAACGAGAACATTGAGTTCAAAGAAATGTATGCTATCATAGTTGCCTGCGCGACCTGGGGTTCGGAGTGGAGCAGGCGACGCATTCAGTTTCAGTGTGACAACAAGGCCGTGGTGGACTGTATACGCTCCGGTACCTGCCGTTCACCGCCAGTCATGACACTTATCCGGGCATTGTATCTGCTGTGTATTGAGCATGACTTCTTGGTGTCAGCTGTCCACATTCCTGGTGTCACTAACACTGTCGCCGATGCATTGTCTCGCAATTTGCTGCAGGTATTCAGGCACCAGGCCCCGGAAGCAGCAGCCGAGCCAGATCAGCCAGTCTTGCCAACTCTCCGTTGACAGACTCCGTGCTACAGCTAGCAGCACTGGCAATAGCACCATCCTCCCGCCGGACGTATTCTACCGCCGAGACCCGCTACTTCCAGTTCTGCCAAGTGCATGCCTGCAACCCATTGCCGGGCGACGACTTTACTTTGTGCTATTTTGCTGCCGAGTTGTTCAGGACTCTTCAGCCTCGATCTGTCCGTGTCTACATGTCGGCAATCCGCAACCTTCATGTGGAACTTGGCTTTGCTTACCCGTCGGGCCCAACAACTCTCCTCGCTAGGGTCCTGCGGGGCATCGACAGGTCGTCATCGACACAGCGTCATCGTCTGCCGATAACCACTCCACTTCTCAGGGAGATCTGCCGGCATGTTGCCGTTCCACGCATGCGGCACCCTCACGACAAGGCCATGCTAAGGGCAGCTTTTTCCTTGGCGTTTCATGGGTTCTTCCGTTGTGGAGAACTGACTGCTGGCCTGAGGCGATGTGATGTGACGATCAGTACTGACCAGCGGTCGTTATCGGTAAACGTGCGCTCATCTAAGACGGACCCCGACAGCACGGGCCACACAGTATTGGTTGGAGCCAGCACGGACGCACTGATCTGCCCAGTGCAGGCCATGGCAAACTACCTGGCGTTTCGCCCCGGCGACGACCATCTGTTCACTTATGCTAATGGCCAGCCGCTTACAAGAAATGCAGTGTCCTCTGAACTGCGCAACCTGCTGCCACTCTGTGGGGTCACGGACCCGAGTGCATATGCCAGTCACTCTTTCCGGATTGGCGCCGCAACATCAGCGGCCATGGCAGGTGTCCCCGAACACATCATCCGTATCATGGGTAGATGGCGCAGTGATGCGGTCCACCGCTACATCCGGGCTGCTACAGCTGACACCCTGCGAGTGTCATGTCAATTAGCTGCAGTTCAAAGTCATCAATGGTAGCTGCGGGTTAGTGACCACATCATGCCTGAACTGCTTAGCTTTAGCTTTACATTGCTGCTGTCAGTACAGCACAATACACCAGTCGTATTTCATTATTACTCTCATGCCATATTGGGGATATTGGGAACGGGCAGTCTATCTCCGCAGCTGGCTCATTTCAATCACTACCGGTCGCAGCTCCTGCCCATGGCAGGCCGACCGTCTCTCGTTCACACTCTGTGTGCTCCAGGTCACAGCTCCTGCGCAGAGCAGGCCGACCTGTCTGTCTCTCTCTCACACACACTATGTGTGCACCGGGTCACAGCTCCTGCGCAGAGCAGGCCAACCTGTCTTTCTCATGCACGCCAGCTGCTCCGCCCAATATCCCTGATATGCCAACCAGAAAACAATGTGTTCTGAGCCGGGTGCATGCCTGTATGTGGAGAGTGCGTTAATGGTGGTTTAGCGTGTGCGCTAAGCCCTGTTAACGAACGTGGAACATCTACCACTCATACTTAGTCTGATGATCATGCATCTGATTATGATGTCATTGCTATACATGCGCATGCGCAGCGCGCGCCACTCTCCCACGCATGCATTCCAAATCTTGCTTTAGAGAGAGAGAAGGAGAAAAGAGAGACGCCTTTGTCACTTTTGCTTTCTGACGACTTGACTGTTCACTGGTTTGTCCGTCAGTGTCAATTTCCCCTTCCCTCCCAACCCCATTCTCCTGGGGATCACTATCTCTCCGTCACTGTCACCATAATTTCCTCAATAACAGTGTCAGTACAACTCTTGTCAATATACTTATATCGGGTGAGGGCAGTCTATCTCCGCAGCTGGCTCATTTCAATCACTACCGGTCGCAGCTCCTGCCCACGGCAGGCCGGCCGTCTCTCGTTCACACTCTGTGTGCTCCAGGTCACAGCTCCTGCGCAGAGCAGGCCGACCTGTCTGTCTCTCTCTCACACACACTATGTGTGCACCGGGTCACAGCTCCTGCGCAGAGCAGGCCGACCTGTCTTTCTCATGCACGCCAGCTGCTCCGCCCAATATCCCTGATATGCCAACCAGAAAACAATGTGTTCTGAGCCGGGTGCATGCCTGTATGTGGAGAGTGCGTTAATTGCCAATATACAATGTACTGGGTATAGTCTTTAATTTGACGCCATTACAAACACCTCATTTCAAACAAATTTCGAGAAATTTCCCAACTGGAAGCATTTGCAGAGACCTCGCTGCCATGTTGTCAGTCACCATCACTAGCCCTGACACATACGCATGCGTAATCATTTTCTCTTCCTCTTTGTCTTGAATAAACGCTAAGTTGTCAAGCATTGTAGCCCACTCCATTAGGGTTGTATGTATTAGGCCCCAGGGTGGTATTTCCAGGGAAAATATCTGTTTCCATGTGTACAAATAGAACATCTGCCGCCTTGGGTGCTTTTTAAACATTTTCCAGGATTTGCTTTATTGGGTCTTACTGGTAGGAAGGCATGCAAGATCTCATTAAGTAGCCATGCCCAAAAAACCTCACACGCATTATTATAAGAAAAAAACTCTTGTGTCTTTGCGCGCATGCATGTGTGTTCGTGCTGATGCCCATATGTTGCTAGTTGCACAATATATCTCACCGATGGTTTGAAGACTGGCTTTTCCAGCCTCACATCCATTGAATGGTTGTACTCGCTCATTGAGTGAGCCGTGTAAAACAAGATGAGTGCTGCCACGGAATCGTACGTACAGGGCTTGCTGAAGCCATACATGCCCTTCTCGTGATAAATCCTGACCAGTTTGTTTAAACCATCCTTCCTGTAGGAACGCGAACACAACGGAACACAATACAGGCGCGTGCTCGGCGAGGGGCACGGGGGGCACGTGCACCCCCCACAAATTTTCAATCTGGGTTTAAAAAAAATAATACTGCACCTCGGATGTGACACGTACACATGCAAACGGCCTTCTACACGTACACGTGCAGCGCGAACAATAATTTTGCACGTAGATCTACACTGTGCACAGCATAAACATTACCTTGCGACAGTCGGATTCTTTCCCGGTTTCGATTTCTTGCTTTTAGGTCTGGATTCTTTGATTTCTTTCCTGAAGTATGGGTATCTGACTATGACTGAGCTGCTCTTTTCATAATGTCAAATCGACCGCCGTCATTGAAGCGCAAAGCTTCCACGCTGCCAATTTCGAACTCCACCTATTGTCAATATCTAGTACCATGAGTACTGTACTACGAGTACTGTAGTGGGCTCTCTTTTTCTGTATTTTCAGGCGTGGGGCATCCCCTGACCAAAATGGGTGCAATTGTAATGTATGCAAATATGCTCTAAAATTCAAGAAAGGTTGCAAACAAATTGCAGAAAATTGCCGGGGGGGGGGGGGGGGGCTCCCCTCGGCTCCCGTGCACCCCCCTAGTAGGGGGGCCGAGCACGCCCCTGCAATAGAACGCAGGATTGGCACACCGTGGCGTTAGCAACTATGGGAATCATTACTGCACTCATTTCGTGCCACGTGCACGCACCCCTTCCGCCCCGCCTAACCTCTTCCATCACATACTCATGCACACATACGGTAAAACCTGGTGTAAGCGACCTCTCGTTTTAGCGACCACCTGCTATTAACGACTGTTTTTCCATTCACGGACATTCATTGAAATTTGAATGATTTCTCGTCAGTGAATGAACACCTGTCAGGGCAGGTAAGGATGATTACCCTCAGCGGCGGAGCAGAGTCTGGTCAAGACAGGTGTTACCACAGGCAGGCATGCAAGGCCAATACAATCCAGCTGCACATAATTGTTGGATGAGCTGAAAAAGGCACATGCAGCTGAAAGAGTTGGGAGTCCTCTCACAACACCAGTAACGCCACCAGCAGTAATACCACCACCACCACCAACAGCAGCAGCAGCAGTAGCAGTAGCAGCAGCACAAATGGTAGCAATGACTGCTGCAGCGATAAGCTTACTTGACCGTCAACGTGTATTCACCGGGCGTCTGAGACGCATCACGGACCATGAACGCACCATCAGGCATGCCAGCCATCGCCTCCTTCACAACCTCTCTACAATTGCATCAGATCAGAACACACCAAAAGGCATGGTAGTTACTTGAAAAGGGACTTTCTACGGAGGCATAGTAGTTTGAACGTTCTTGCTACAAATGTATGACACAGGCCAGCAACCCTGCTCGCGCTGCATCAATGACATATGAAGCAGGTTATTACCCTCATGCCTTACAAGTCACACCTGTGTCGCACGGAACACGCAAAGGGATTGCACGGATTATGTTATTGATGGTTGCAATGGATTGCTCCTTTCACAGAACGTACCCAGCGAAAGCAGGAGATCGAATAGAAACACCAGCCACTCACTTTTCTGCAGGTCCCCAGTACCAGCCAAAGGCGTGCAGAGAGGTGGCACCAGATCCCGGTGTGGTCACTGCAGGACTGGACATTGAACGCACGCCCTGCGCTAGGTGACGATGATCACGTTGCTGTTCACCGTTCGGTAAATGTTTTTCTCCATTGCATGGCAACGTTCCATCTAATAGCAACAAGACACACAGTAGCGCGCAAACCCATGTGCCATAGATATTGAGCGATGCATAGCAGAGGTGTTGGGAGGCATTTGAAGTGGGACAGCACGCACATTTCATAGAGAGGATTTGGGAGGCCTCCAGTGGACATTTCAGGGAAAAGCATTTGGGAATAGAGTTTTTGGAGAAACCTGCAGTGCTCACATAGAAGCTAATGTAAGTTGACAAATATTCGGCGCATATTGTGTTCGGCTATAACTGGCCTGGACAGTGAGGCTAAGACTTAGTTGCGGCTGAAATGTTGCTTTTCAAGGTTCAGTGTGACAGTGTATACAGTTAAGCCCTCGGAGGCTAAACTTTTAACGCAGCTTAAAATGTGTAGACTTGCGGTATGTGCAGAGTGATGGTACATGTGTGAGAGTCATTTTCTTACAACTTCAGCTGTTAAATATATTGTATGTCCGTTGCATGCCCGATGGCTCAATATGTTTGCGCCAGCCTGGATTGCATTGTATATGAGATAAAGTGTGTGGAGGAGTCATGGCTGCCCTGCATGGTCGCTCCTGCTCTTCCACCCTCCCTACTGACACCATGCACATGCACGGACGGACGCACGTGCACGCACACACACATACTCTCACAGACACACACACACCATGGAATACTGACATGCACAGCAGCTCTACACTTTGCCTTTGGCAACAGTTAGAGCATGGCATCATAGAGAGTGGCATGGCATCATCGAGAGTGGCATGGCATCATAGAAAGTGGCATGACATCATAGAGAGTGGCATGACATCATAGAGAGTGGCATGACATCATAGAACGTGGAGAGGCACTCTTCTTACTTGGTGCTGGATCAGGATTTCCGCACGTTGCAGGAGGTTTGGTAGTTCTGGAAACATCAGGAGGTTGTGAAGTCGTCGGGGCCTCAGGTTTGGGACCAGATGTTCGCGTAGATCCGCGGGGAGGAAGCGGTGGAGGTACAGCGTCTACAAGGATTACAAATGAATAAGAAGAGCAGAAGAATAATGTGTGCTAGAGGGGAAGTAGCACTTCTCGTATACCACTGTATATTGTGCCGTGTGTGCTGCTTTGTGGCTGTTGTTGTTCTTGTTGTTATTCTTGTTGTTGTTGTCGTCGCCGTCGTCGTCGTTGTTGTTGTTGCTGATGCTGTTGTACTTTGAAGTACATGACATATACATATTTTAATGTCGCTTCAACTTGAACAGGAAAATACACCTTACATGAAGTTGACAGAGAGGGGAGGACCGAGGATTAAAACCATGGGAGACAGAGAAAATGATGAAGAAGTGGCTATGGTTTTGCAGTGACAAAGTCAGGAAGATAGGAAGGAAATGTCAAGTTGGCCATATGCAAAGAAGGGATGTGCACGCTAGTAGCCAATCAATGCAGAGTTATAAAGGTATGCCAAGTCGAGACGTTCAAGGGCTGTCTTCAATGCTGATGGCTTTCCTACAGGGCGGGCGAGCCAACGCTTTCATGGTCTTTGTGCTTGGAAGTTTCCATATCTTGGCGACCCATCTATGCTTTGTTGGTGTTCTAGGGCTTGATGCACCTTTCAGGACGTTTAATAGTCACTATTTCTTTGACACTCTTCAGGACCACCAGATTTTTTTTGGGTTTGGTCCGGTAGTACCACATGATGGCCGTTCATACTTTGTGTATGAGGTCGCGGGTACACATGCCCACCACAGTAGGAAACACGTGTTGGTGCCCCAAATGTTGGTCCGGTAATAACCTGACCAACCGGACTGGCTCCGCCAGGCCTGCTCTTTCTGGTTGTGAAAGCCATTGTTTCGCTCATCTCACTGGCCCAAACCTTTTCTTGGACAGCACTGTTCAGAGATTGCTGCGATGAGGTATGAGGCTAGTTCATCCCGAAGAAGGAAAGGGAGATGCATGAGCTTCGGTACTAGTCTGGCAAAACATTATTCTGATCTACTTGTAGTGCAAAGATCACCTGGAATGTCCAGCTCAGGTTCCCATTTTCCGTTCCCTTCTTCCAGATAAACTTTGTTGTAGACTGTAGTCCTCGTGCAATCTCCACACAGGGGTTTCCTGTTTGCACAGGTCTGCTGATTCGGTTCATTGATTAATTACTCTTTCACTGAACACCAACGCACAGCAACATGCTGTGCTAGTGGGGATGGTGGTGGGGATGAAGCCCCGAGACTGCCAAACAGGGATGGGGGGGGGGGGGGGGAGAGATGAAGCTCCAAGTCTGCCACTCAAGTACCTGCAAGCATACACAGTAGCTAGCACATGGAAATGGAGATGGTTATGCTAGTACAGTAGCCCTTTCCCAAAGATGCGCGCCACTTTTTTCGCAACTTTTTGTTTCGGAAGAAATTGTAACTTTCGCAACTTTTTTCATTTTCACAAACCACTTCGCAACTTTTACCCAACTGTGTGCAGAGAAGTGCCTTGGAGGAGACCAATGAAGTGTCCGTGGTGCTCCGCTTCAACAAGAAGCGCCAAAACAATTACATTGCATCAAATCATCAGGGCAAGTGTACTTCGAGAAGTACAGTAAGATCGGGCGCCGAAGAGCGCAGCCGCTCAAGGCACCGCGGCCTAGCATTGTCCTAACATGTTGAACGATGTTAGTCGTTTTGTTCTTATTCCACGATCATGGAGAGCACCAAATGATGCGATCACACCCGGCACGTGGAAAACATGATTGTAGAAAACGGTGCATGCGTTCGTTTAAAAATCTGCAAATCTAGCCTGAATTTGCCCATTTTCCAGCCTAAGGGTTCTTTGGCAAAGTGTCTCAGTCTGCGCCCGATCTAACTGTACATGTGCATGTATGTGGCAGCCCTGAGCATACCGCTATGTCGTGTGTGCCAAGGTTCAACAAAAGGGCAATGACTCATTCCAAGTCTGTCCATTTTCCTGTCTCAGGCAGTTGTGCTGTGCCACAGTGTCGTCTATTTCCGCTCCATTTTCAGAGGTGTTTGGCATCATTATGCACAAGAACTCGCTCATTTTTAGTTGCGATATTAGCGACTTCTGAGCTTTTTCTGAAAATATGCATGCGATTTCTGCAACTTTCACTTGTTTTGGCATGGTTGCGAAAAACTTTGGCATCTTTCGGAAAGGGCTAAGGTCGGTATACGGTACTTGCAGTCGATACTGAGCGCGTAGGCGGACAAATGAACAGTTACTGATCACCAACTAATGAGTAATGACGTTACTTGGAAAGAAAGGAAAAGTGGGCTGTGTGTGGGGGGGGGGGGGCACTACAAGGAGGCAACGGAAACTCCGAAAGTCACGGATAAAGGCAAGAGAACGCACAAACAGACGAAACGACAGGAACATTCGGTTTCGCTGCCGCATCGGAGCTAGAATGGGTGCAATCCTGTGCCAGCGCAGCGCAAACAGAGGAACTCCTCTTTCCCGTCGCACCGGCTTGTTGACACATGGCATGCCGGCCTAGACCCGTACAACAAAGAATCCATGCGCAGACGATCAATCACAACCACCCAGCCGTTCACTCGGTTTCTGGTCGCTGCGCGCGCTCCTGGCGATCAGGCCATATCGGAGGGGGATTATGATGAACTGACGGGAGCTGCGCAGACAGGATAGCCGAGCGCCAGATGGAAAGCCTAAAGCAATGACCGCTTCCAAAACACAAAGCAAGAAAACACTGGCTTGTACTTACTGTTGTCCATTGTAGGGTAGAAGGTGTACTAAGCTGTAATAGTACTAATACCGCTCCTGACAGTCCTGGCTGCGAATGCAAGCCAGCGGCTATATCCCAGAAAGTCGGGCAATGATAGAATACTTTTTAGCACAAATGCCCGAAGCGTTCCGCCGGGAGTTTTTCGACACGTCGCGTACCTTCACAAAACCCTTCCTTCCTGGTGCTTGATGAAACATACACACAAACAGAAACACACGCCATCTGCGATGTGATCTGAGGCGAGGAGAAGACGGACTGTAGTCTGTAGATCATCGAGTGGAAGTTCTACTCACTTGCTTCTTCGCTCCGTCAGGGAAAGTTTCCGTAACTCTTGAAACGATGACTGAACGCGGGCGTGAGGCAGTTGTTGTTGAAATCATCGAGGTAACTTGCAGAGGAGAACTAACTTACTTGCATGACTTGTACAGTACTGGCAGTAGTAATGACCAATGCGCACTTTGACCCAGTCGAACACGTAGCATTTCACGAGTCGGAGGAGCTGTGACTGGGCGAAGTAATGGTGGACCCTCGCACGCACAACGTCAACAACGCACTCACTTGATGCCATGTGGCGATTGAAGCCAACTGCACGCCCTTTACCCTTGTTCAAGTTGTTGCATTGCGAAATGTTGAATGTTCTTCTCCGGAGCTCCCAGATCCACTTGCTCAGTGTCCGGGCGCAGCAAGGCCAGCTGCACCCGCTGTACTTGGAGACTTTTCGTTTTGGTGTAGCACAGTTCGTGTACCGCACAGCTAGCTAGCAGCTCACTTCGAGAAGAAACCGCAAAACTGCTTGCCCACACCAGCAAAAATGGCGAGATCCGGAGTAGATCTACACGGTACGGGGGATGATACCTTTACGCATGACTTCTTTCAATAAGGCTACAGACAGTACAGTACTAATGTAGCCTTATTGAAAGTAATGTGTCAGTAGTATGATTGTGCGATGCCACGGAGCGCTGGACGTAACTCGTTACAGTTTGTCACAAATTGTCAGTAGGCTGAGAAGATCAAGAGGGTGAATAGACTGATTGATTGATTCCCAGTGTGACTCACTGCATGACTGGTGGTCACAGTTGACCGTAGTCTGAAGACCCTTGAAATCGAGTGTTTTTCGAACACTTGTGGTGTCATTGTGTAGGCTTCGGTTTTAGGCCGAGTAAAAAAAATTACTAGATGATCGTCCTTTTTTTTGGAAAAATCGGGGAGGGCGGGAGGATTTTATTTTTATTTTTTTACTTTTTACCCTCTCATGCACACAGTGTACACAACAACATCAAGGTTTTTTTTCTCTTTTTTTCTTTTTTTTTCTTTTTTTCTTTTTCTTTCTTCAGCAGATCGATACTGACGTTGTGATATACTAGTAGTATGTGGTCCATATAGTAAAGAAAGTATTTAGAAAAGCGATCCTGTCAGCTTTTCTATTATTGTGTTCACATGGCAGAAAAAACGACACCGCTATGCTACGTAACTTTCTACGTAAGGTGCTCGGTATTTCACATAGGCTACGTAAGTCTCTAGCTCTACGTAAGGTGCTCGGTATTAGATCTACCAACGCATGGTAGCCGTGTGCTGTGCACGTGCACGGCAGACATTGTGTTCAATTCAGTGCATGCAGTCTGCGGATCCGTGGCCGTGTTCGGATGTGCATGCGCGAGGAACTTCCTTCTTTGGAACTGCTTCTTGCATGAGCTGTTTCGGATATTTCGTCTCATGGCCTGGCTGGTATTTCGTTTCGGCGCTGCTGAGACCTCCTTTCGCGGAATATTACTCAATGACAGGTGAGTTGACCAGTTGCCTTTGATTCATTTGCTTGTGTTGACTCTTTCATTCCGGAAAAGTGTGCTGATTTTGGGGCGGAATGCAATAAATATAGGAAAAGTTGACAGGATCTCTTTTCTAAATTTTGCTTTTCTGCTGCCGAGCTGCGAGGCCTCCTTTTACGGAATACTCGATGACAGGTGATCTCTAAGTTGACCGGTTTCCTTCGATTCATTCGCTTATGTTCACCTTTCATTTACAGAAGCGTGTGCTGATTTTATTCGGATTTAGATCCATTTTTATCTTTTTGCCCTTGTCTACAGTGTGCGAAGAACGCGAGTTCAACTTCTTGGCGGTAAGGCTTATGTTAGATGTGTTGTCGAAATACTCATATTCATTGTACACTGGTACTTTACAAGTAAGGCACTGGTCAGTGGCATACTATCGTTGGCAGTTCCCAATCTGGAGGGAAAGGTTCAAGTACCAATTGACTGGGCCGAGTTTGCAAAATAAATTAGCATATCGGGGGAAATCTCTATTGTGGAGAGGTTCAGTAACTTGTTTGTTTCATACGAAAAAAGCCAATGGGTGCAGTCTCGTCTCGTGAAAATCTCGTACTTGTATGATTGGATTTGTTTACTCAAGTCTGGGCTGTTTGATTTGTGAGTACCGCCGAGATTGCACTGCCCCAAATAAAGTTTCGTGCCGCCAAAGCAAGAATTACGATCTGCAATCTGTTTGTAGTACCTGTAAGAATGTGAAGTACATGTATCGTACTTTCTCTGTTGCTGTTTCAGTTGCCGTCATGTTGCTAAAGAAAGGTTCAGTAGAGAGGTTCTGCAAAACGAAAATTCGAACGAAGTTGGTTTCGCGACAGTCCTTGCGAAAGTGTGTGCGAATTTTTGCACGAACTTTGCGTTCTGCACATTTTCGTAGTTTGCGCGGGCCAAGTGCACGTACGCCACACGGCTGTTAGCTGCACTTGGATCGCGGCAACTTAGTTTTCTGCACGTGAACCATGAAAAATCAATGCATGCTCATGCATGTTCATGCATAACCAGTCAGCTGGCCTGCTCGCCCACGCATTTGACAGGTAACAATTCCATCAAATTTGAGATATCGCTTCGTTCTAAGTCTCAAAACAGTTCTAAAGTCACCAAACCACGCTGGTAATCGATGGCTATTCAATGTTAACATCTTCAGGAAGACTTCAGCCGTTTCCCGAGAGTTTGGGCATCGTTGCCATTATTTTTCACGGTGTTCTTCTTCCTCCTGTCTGGAGCAGCAATTGCATCCTGGAATTATTTGAAAGGTATTTCGTGCGGGCTGTGGGGGGTTCCAACAGGCATAAACTGACATCGCTATAGGATAACTGGTAACTTTCACCCTTCAAGGAGGTAGAGCAATGAGAATTTTTTTGTGGCGGTCGTCCAATTTTTGTGGCGGTCGTGGCTGTATTTGTGCACTTCCAAGGCTTTCATTCTGCCTGATACTACTCTCTACTGTATGGGAATCGTTGTTTAGGCACATGTAGCTGTCTTATTTGGTAGATCTGCTGTTTTCAATCACTTGGGACACTTTGTCTAGCCTATTTGTCTTTCGTTCGTGCCATCTATCAGTTTTGTGGGGTGCCTTGGCCTGTATTTGTGACGTTCTCGAGTAAAGACCCTAATTCTTGACTGGAGTCACGACTTGAATTGTATTTGCTGGGCGAGCCCTCGTTCACGCAGTTGTCCTTATCGTAATAGTCAGTATCTGCTTGCTGGACGGACTAGCGGCTAGAATAGGGATGACCAAATGGTCCAAGTGTGTACTAGTACACGATTATTGTTTCCATCATCGTGAAACGAGCGTTGTGGAATTGCAGTCCGGTCTGCCTTTGGCACTGAGGACACGGAGGAGAGTTGATTGTTACTTCTGCTCAGCAATGAAGCGATCATCAGCTCTCTTTGTTCTAATTATTGACAGGACATACCGGCATCGCAATCAAGTAAAGATTAGGCAAACCTCGCCAACCTCCAAAGAGAGTCGAAGATATTTTCTCCAAATGCAAAGACGATCTTTGTGAGTTTGTGACTTGCATTTGCGTGCATACATGAGCAAGTCACGGACCACGGCACGTGCGCGGTTACCATGCCATCTCGAACCGACGCCATCTTTCTAAGTTGCCGCTTCTTGACAGCCGTGGCCATGACCCGATCTCACGAAATTTCCTACGACAGTTCATTTCGCGTTCCCTGCAAGTTTCGCGTCCAAAGGTGCGAAGTTTCGCACTTCATGATGTAGAGCGAGAGTTTGTACGCATTTTCGTTTTGCAGAATCTCTCTAGTGACTCAATTGTTTCATACGAGACGAGTCAATGAGTCGGTGTGGCTTAGAATCTTTCGCTGTATACGAAATCTATTCGTATGTCTATTGGAGATATAATTGTATTCTCTGGTTATAAAACAGGTTAAGCTCACAGAATAAATACCATCGGTCCCTTGGTGTTCGTCCTAAAGAGAATCGACCCGATCTCACGAAATTTCCTACGACAGTTCATTTCGCGTTCCCTGCAAGTTTCGCGTCCAAAGGTGCGAAGTTTCGCACTTCATGATGTAGAGCGAGAGTTTGTACGCATTTTCGTTTTGCAGAATCTCTCTAGTGACTCAATTGTTTCATACGAGACGAGTCAATGAGTCGGTGTGGCTTAGAATCTTTCGCTGTATACGAAATCTATTCGTATGTCTATTGGAGATATAATTGTATTCTCTGGTTATAAAACAGGTTAAGCTCACAGAATAAATGCCATCGGTCCCTTGGTGTTCGTCCTAAAGAGAATCGACCGGATATCATTCATACTCACCAAAAGATGTGTAAGATTTTATTATTGTGGAGTGCCTTGTTTATCTCTCAGTACCTCCAACCATAGCCTTGCCCCTTTTCTCCTCAGGATCAGTGTAGTCGTTGGAACGAGGTTTTGGACTCAGCAATGTATTCGTTTACATTTTAATACATGTTTATTGTTCCTCCTTTGCTGTGTTGTTTTAGACAATCGTGGACTAACAGTTTGAAGTCATTGAACTACTTCCAAAAGTTGTATCGACATCAACAGGATTACGATTTCAGTTTCAATATGATGCTGGATGACCTTATCACGATAACCCATGACTATAAACAATTATAAACACAGAATCAACAAAAACATCTGCGACACGCACCTGGCGCATGGCTACATTTCTCAAATAAATCTGATTCAGGGGGGAGAAATCTGAAAGGGAAGACAATTTTATGACAGAGTCATGAAATTCTGCAACAGCAACATGCACAGAATGACCTCCGTTTAAAAAAAAAGTATCACCACCACTGCTCACATGTTTCCCCGCAGAAGAACATGCATTATGCTAGTGCCATTTTCTGCAAGAAAATGCTTGCACATCAATGCGTATACGTGTATTCGATATTTCTGAAGACTGTATTATTGTACCACAATGAGCGTAACGATTCCACAAAAGGCGATCGTTCAAACTAGGTAACAACAAAGAGCAAACTAAACTCAAAACCAAAACAACAACTGCACCAGCAAGCTCTTTCCTTGCACTAACTACAAATACATCAAAACCAAGCAGCAAAATGCAAATCCGCACGCATGTTTGCCGGAACTGAACCTCCGTAGCGCAGCTGATCATTGCGGCTGCACGGGACGACCTTCCCGCCACAGTAGGGCAAAGAACTATGCATGGAACTAGCAATGAATGCATGCAGCACACCAGCAAGCTGTCCCTACGCAGACGTCTAGTCTAGCGTGAGCAAGGATGAATAGCATGAGAAACATGATAT